TGAGTTATCTTAGCCCCAGGCCATGCTATTCAATAATATTGGAAAAATGGCAGCGTAAGGTAAAAACTAGTATGGAAAGCTGAATGCATAAGATCTCTCTACTGGTTAACAAGAGGTTAGAGCCCGGGGAATAAAACAATCATAGTAGTGAGCATTTCCCCATTCAAATGAGCATTATTAGGTGTGTACATATGTCGGGTTGGTTCAGATTTTTCAATTACCAAACCAAACCAATAAAGTCGGGTTTTTTAATCACAGATTTTTTTTTCCGGATTTTTCGGATTTTTCGGGTTTTTTTCATAAAGTTTTTATAGCACAAAACATGATATTTGTGCTCCAAATATTTCTTTAATCCTAATAAGACATAACTATATAAAGTATTTTTCAACAAAATAACATAAAATATGACATCAGCCATGGTATTGTACTAAAATATTCAACAATAAAAATAATAAATTTGCATAAAATAAATATTATTAATAAGACATAATAAAAATAAACATAATCTAAAATTACTAAGTTGCTAAAATAAGTACGTCTTATAAGTACTATTATTTACATGACTAAATACTAAAAAAAATAAGTTAATACATTTTATCTAAACCATGGTAAAACTAAAAAAATAAATAGATATCCAACACTATTGTCATTCCTAGTACAATTGAATTGAATGACTTTTGTTAGTATTAATATTGATTTGATTTTGGTATGGGATTTATTTGAGTTACTAGCATTTATGGACTATAAAACTTATTGCAGCATTCAAAAATTATAAGTAACAACTTGAAATAATATGTTAAAGATAAAAATATGAAAAAGTTTAAAAACTATTTATAAATAATACTACAATAAATATTTTTATATATTAAATATATTTAAAATTTTTAGACATGTAATGTTGGGTTGGGTTGGTTTCGGTTTGACTTTTTTTATTTAAAACCAAACCAAACCATCTATGATCGGGGTTTTCCCCCAACACTAAACCAAATCAAAACAAACCATAGTTAGATTTTTTTTTTCGATTTGACTCGAATTATCGGTTTGGTGTGGTTTATCGATTTTCTTTGTACATCCCTAAGCCTTATAATGCGGAAATTCAAATTAGTTGGGCCCAGTGGCGGAGCCAGGATTTACACAAAGGGATGTCAAAATCTAAAGAAGAAACCAAGAAAAATAATTCTACTAGTGAAACAACAAGAACAATAACAAACTTTTTTTTTCCGTCGGACCACAGTTTTGCTCATATGGTGAATCAAGCAGAAAGCTAGATAGACACTAAACAAACAAGCCGACAATTTGTGAACTGCCCAAAACATTGGGAACAAACACATACTAACGAGCTTGAGAAAGCAGACAATGGTAGGTTCAAAGGAAGATACCATTTTTTTAATTCATCTTAGCTACAGATAGTTATAAGAAGCAGTACGGGGGAAAAGAGGGAACAAATCAAGAAGATTAAGCACATCAGATAACACACACCCAACAAACTATTACAAGCAAAAGTTGTGATGAAAAGCATGTAACTCTACCTTAGAAGCAAAACCAAAGTTACACAGTCTAAAGCAAAATAATATTATATTATTACAATTGTACTCGACGAGGTTTCATTTCTTGAAATGTTTTTATAATATCATCATTAGATATAGTACTAAATACATCTTTTTCTACATAAGGCACCAAACAACCACTCAAAAGTTCATCATTCATTTGATTCCGCATGTCATTCTTGATAAATTTCATTGTCGAAAAAGCTCTTTCAACTGATGCAGTGGCAACGGGCAAAAGCAAAGCAAATTTCACCAAGCAGAATACAAGAGGGAAGTTTAAATTCTTCTTTGTCTGAACTAATTTTCTTGAAAGATCACAAAATCCATTCAAATTGGAGAACCTTTCATCAATATCACGGACATCAATAATGTATGCCGCAAGTTGATTCTCAAGAGCACCCATACTAACTTTATCAAAGTCATCAGGATATAATTTAGCCATTTTCATGATCTTGTTGATGTCAAAACTAGAAAATGAGTCAATTGGATTCAAACAAGCAACTCCATGAAGCAAATTAGTAGTCATTTCGTGAAAACGACCATTGAGTTCTTGAATTTTCCAATCAATAATCTTACAAAACATATCAACACGATAATAATGTAAAATAGTATGATCGGTAGATTTACGTCGTGATCTTAAAGAGTTAATGTATGGCTCATCAAAATTAGGTATTAAAATGCCATACTTGATACTAAATGTAGATACTTTTTCAATAAGTGAATCCCAATCATCTTCTCTTAAGCTTTGCAACCTTCTCAGCATGGCATTTGAGATATCTTGCTCCTTTTTTTGTAAGCATTTATTTAGCTCATTTGTGATTGCTAAAACATCTACCATCAAATGTAACATGAATGCAACCTCAAATGTTTGACAAGTTTTGAGATATCCCATTGCCTTGGCTCTGTCATCCATCAAACGTGCATCAACAACAAGTGCTTCAAAAATATCAAGAATAGAGACAAACATAAGAATAAATTTTTTATAAGATTTGTAATGAGATCCCCAACGAGTATCACAAGCTCTTGAAAGACCATGTTCTTGATTCAAGCCTCTACCAGTTTTAAGCTCACCCATATCTAATGCCTCTTCAATTCTTTCCTTTTGAGATTCTCGAAATTCATCCATACGCTTAAAAGAAGATCCCAACACATTCAAAATATTTGAGACCAAAACTACAAGTTCTCCTACTTGAATACATTTTTTTGAAATCGCAACAAGAGTTAATTGAAGTTGGTGAGCAAAACAATGAATAGAGTGAGCCGATCTACTTTCTTGCCTAATCAACATTTTAAGGCCATTGAGCTCACCATGCATATTGCTTGCTCCATCGTAACATTGCCCACGAACATATGATATACTTAAGGAATGTTTAGCAAGTAAATCAACAATGCCTTCTTTAGAGATGAAGCACACGTATCTTTGACATGAACAATAGCAACAAGTCGCTCCACCACAAATCCCATTCTATCAACATATCGTAAGACAATAGCCATTTTCTCCTTTCGCGACACATCAAAAGATTCATCAACTAATTAGGCAAAGTAGTCACCATTTAATTCTTTAATGATAGCTTTAATTGTTTCCATCTTACATGCAGTCACAACGTCTTTTTGAATCATTGAAAAAGTCATCTGATCATTTTGAGGAGCATATTCCAATACACAATCATGAATTTTATCACATTCTTTTGCATACCATAAGATAATTTCAAGAAAATTACCCATGTTAAATGACGTTTTAGATTCATCATGACCCCAAAATGCAAATCCTTGCTTCAAAAGAAGTCTTACGACATTAACCGAAGCAGTTAAGCGAATCCAGTAATCATGCTTAACTTGATCAGATTGCTTCTCAAATGCATATATAATGGACTGTTGTTGCCGTAGTAGATCTACAAATTTCCTTTTTGCTTGATTATGAAAGCTACTTGGCCCACCAACATGCTTATCAAAGCTCTTCTTTTTGTTCCAACTCTTAAACCCTATGCTCGAAAATATATCACCTCCACCTTGATGAATGTTATCGTTTTTAAACAAATAACAACTCAAACAATATGCTGCATCGTTACTTATACTATACTCCAACCACCCATGATAATCAACAAACCATTTAGGATTAAAATGACGCATTACTCCATACAGTGTAATTTTTCGGCGAAGGGGTGTCAGTCTCGGACAAGGGTAGCTCCGCCCCTGGTTGGGCCCCAAATTAAATATCAAATACGGAGTTGAAAAGAAGGAAAAAAAAATAAAAAATAGCCATATTTATAACTAGTAATTAAAAAATGTCACACCCATTTTATACCCCCCAAAAGATATGTATTATGGATTATTATGGGTTAAAGAGTTTTTCCAATTAAAGCGACAAATTTGAGTAGGGATTATTTTATTTACAGAGTCGCCACTTGGAATTGATTTTTTTTGGGTGTTCCAAGTCACCTTTTATTTGAATCCCTAGTCAAAGGAAGGTTTGACTCTATTATTATTGGTCTGCAAAAATAAAGTCTAGGTAAGGAATTATGTTGACCGTGGAGAAGGTGTAAGGCATTCCCCGAGTCCCGTGGTTCTACCACGGTCGCTTTATTGACTACATTTGGCTTGAATTAATTTTGGATAAGCTGTGATTTATTGGTTTTCATGCTTTATCTATCCGCTTTTAATTATTAAAATATGGAATTATCTTTGAAACGAATCACGTGTGTGAATCCGTTTTGTTTATTGTGCCAAAATCATGTCACGCGTATGTGTACACAATTAATAGCGTTTTATTATATTAAGATTGTTTTGACCAAAGTTGCGCGAACACATACATCGGTTTTAATTTTGAAAATCACAATTATACCACATGAACGTATACATAATCACAATAAACTAATTAAAAGCGCGCCTAAAGCACTCTAACGATGCTCATTATTCTTCCTAAATTTTGAGATTATTGTGAGGTCATGAATTATGGAATTACTTGTGGAAGAAGTATATAATTATAGATATTTGAATAAATAAACCATCATATACCAATACCCTATAGCCCAACAATTGAAGCCCAAACTTATTAGGGTCCAAATCTTCCCAACTTTAAAGCAAGTTTGAATACCATATTTCCAGAAACATAATTAAGCATATAGCTTTTAAGGACTAATTTGCATAATTATTTATAAAGTTTAAAGGCAAATAAATAAAATCACATGAAATAAGATTAAAAGAATGGAGGAAAGAATAAACCTTTAATACAAAATTTCCAATTAAATGAGTTTCCAAGAAAAGGTACAGTAACTCAGACGAACGTCGAACAAGCATAAGCGAAGAAGAACATCAAAGCTAGTAAACGGAGCTCCAACGGAATTCTCGACCTCGACTATCGACTCCACTGTTTGGTGTGTGAAAAGAGATATTTTGAAGTATTTTTTTGTTGGGTTTTGGGTTATGAATTGCTGGATTTTTTGAAAGAAAGACGAAGAAAGAATGACACAATTAGAAATTTCTTTAGCGTAGAAGAAGAAAAATAATTTCTCTCAATTCCCTTCTCTCTCCTTTTTATCTCTCTCCCTCTTTTCTCCTCACATTTCTCTTCTATTTATAGAAAATAAATTCGAAATTTTTTTCAGATTTTATTTTTTTATATATTTTATTTTATTATTTTTTAATTAAAAAGAATTCCCACTTCCCATTTTTCTTATTTTAAAAAAAAAATAATTTCTCACTTTCCTTTACTTTTATTTTTTAAATTTCCCACTTATTTTACTTTTCTTTTTTTAATTTCCACTTATTTTAATTTTCTTTTTTAAATTTCCACTTTCTTTTACTTTTTAAAAAAAGTTTTTTAGCTACCTTTACTTTTATTTTTTAATTCCAACTTTCATTTACTTTCATTTTTTTAAAATTTCACATTATTTTACTTTTATTTTTTAATTCTCCACTTTCTTTTAATTTTTTTAAAAAAGTAATTTTCACCTACTTTTACTTTTACTTTTTTATTCCATACTTTTAATTTTCTTATTATTTTATTCCCATCCGAAAATTAATAAAAATATTTAATTTTTTCGTTTTTTAATTTATTTTATTTTAAAATAAAATAAAAATAATACTAATAGTAATAATTTTACCTATTAAATTATTTTTAACTCTTACCCTATATATAATTTTTTTAACAAAGCTAAAAAAATATATTAAATTTCTAAAAATATTTAATATTAGAATGTGGTAAATATTCAATTATAGTCAAAAATTAGGTGCTCAGAGCTGCCCCTCTTTGCTTGGAAACATAAAGAGTTTTCAGGCAAAGACTAGGTGAGCCATGTGACTAATTATCGACTAAACCGTTATTCAAAAGGGAAAGAAAATAAAAGATAGGGTGCAACCGAGTCCTGATTTTGGACAGCCTACATATCCCGGGTTATAGGGGAATCAGGTCAAGTGTAGTTCAAGGAGAATGGTGGAATGATGAGATGAGGAGTCGAGTGAGGTTCCGTCGAGGCTCCGGTCTGCGGTCCTGATATTAAAAAAAAGAAAAAAAGAAACTAAACAAGCCTATTAGCTATGAGTTACAAGATTCCTATCTATGAGTCTTCTGAAACTTGATCTTGAGTCTTGACTGGTTCTTCATGCAGACTCTGATCTAAACATTGATGCTCGCTAGTTGTAGGTGCTAGTTCATTGTTCTATAGCTTCTTCTAATCAAAACATGACTCCAATGCTCATGGCTTCGATCATGTCTTGAGCATTCCACATCTTTTCAACTGCTTTTGCATTTTGGATTCACCTATTTTTTCTTTTCTTTTATTTTGAATTGAGATTTCTTCTTTTGGTCATCTCGAACCTTGTGCCTCGAGGTAAAATCTACTCAGACACCAAAAAAATAAACGAACTAAATTTTTCTGCCCCAGTTTGCACTAAAAATATTTCGTGAGTTATTGTAACAAAATTCTAAACTACTTCTTTATTGAAAGCAATAAAAGGTGGGGAATGGTGTACCCCGAAAAAAAAAATAGAGACTAGGGAATGAAGATCCTATATCTAAAATAAAAGAAACTAGGGAGTTGAGACCTTATGTTGGAAAAACAACTAGGGATTGGTGTACCCATATACTGGTAAGGAAATGTAACCAGGGGTTGGAACCCTGTATTACGAAAAAAGAATGTATTTAGGGGTTGATACCCTGTATTACTGAAAAGAATGTAATCATGGGATGACGTCCTATATTACTGAAAGGAAATGTAACTAGGGGATGACACCCTGTATTACGGAAAAAAAAATATAACCAGGGGTTGGTGCTCTGTATTACTGAAATGAAAATGAATCCCCTGGGCGAAAAAGGTTCTACCTGGGTTAAACTGCGAAAAGCGAGCCTGGGCGAAGAGTACTTCTACCCAGAATATGAGCTGGATCACCCTATGAGAAAAGTTTCTAACTGGGTTAAGCTACGTAAAACAACATGAGCGAAGAGTACTTCTACTCGGAATTATGAGCTGAATACCCCTAGGCGAAAAGATTTTACCTGGGTTAAGCTACGAAAAAACAGTCTTGGCGAAAAGTACTTCTACCCAGAACTATGAGCTAGATCCCCCTAGGCAAAAAGGTTCTACCTGAGTTAAGCTACGAAAAAACAGTCTTGGCGAAAAGTACTTCTACCCAGAACTATGAGCTAGATCCCCCTAGGCAAAAAGGTTCTACCTGAGTTAAGCTACGAAAAATAACCTGGACGAAGAGTACTTCTACCCGAAACTATGAGCTGGATCCCCCTAGGCGAAAAAGTCCTATCTGGGTTAAGCTACGAAAAACAAGCCAAGGCGAAGAGTACTTCTACAAGGAAATATGAGTTGAATCCTCCTAGACGAAAAGGTTCTACCTAGGTTAAGCTACGTAAAACATCCTGGGCGAAGAGTACTTCTACCCGAAACTATGAGCTGGATCCCCCTAGGCGAAAAGTTTCTACCTGGGTTAAGCTACGGAAAACAAGCATGGGCGAAGAGTACTTCTACCCGAAACTATGAGCTAGATCCCTCTAGGCGAAAAGGTTCTATCTGGGTTAAGCTACATAAAACATCCTGGGCGAAAAGTACTTCTATCCGGAACTATGAGCTGGATCCCCCTAGGCAAAAAGGTTCTACTTGAGTTAAGCTACTGTAAAACAACCTGAGCGAAGTGTACTTTTACCCGAAACTTTGAGCTGGATCCCCTAGGCGAAAAGGTTCTACCTGGGTTAAGCTACAAGAAATAAGCCTGGGCGAAGAGTACTTCTACCCGGAACTATGAGCTGGATCCCCCTAGGCGAAAAGGTTCTACCTGGGTTAAGCTACGAAAAACAAGCTTGGGCGAAAAGTACTTCTACCCGGAACTATGAGCTAGATCCCCCTAGGCGAAAAGGTTCTACCTGGGTTAAGCTACGAAAAGTAAGCCTGGGCGAAGAGTACTTCTACCCAGAACTATAAGCTGGATCCCCATATGCAAAAAGGTTCTACCTGAATTAAGCTATAGAAAACAAGCCTGGGCGAAGAGTACTTCTACCTGGAACTGTGAGCTGCATCTCCCTAGGCGAAATGGTTTTATTTGGGTTAAGCTACATAAAATAACATGAGCGAAGAGTACTTTTATCCTGAATTATGAGCTGGATCCCTCTAGGCAAAAAGGTTCTACCTGGGTTAAGCTACCAAAATGAGAGGTATGAGCATTAGTGATGCATGCTAAAAGTAAAGGAAAGTGGAGATTTTGAGGAAGCTTACCTTTGGTGACATTCGTCCTTTAGGAATCGCCATCCTGCACTGCTTTGTTCCTGCTGCAAACAAAGAAAAATCACGAGTGTTCAAAGTGGTGGTCAGTTTGTGGCCTTGATGCCCTTACCGAGGTTGGGTGCCTTTTCAATGTATCCGTTCGCTTCAAACGAGAGCCCTGTAATCGGTCTTACCATGCTTTCTTTGCCTTAGTTTTGGAACAGAGTTTGTCACGACCCAAAATTCCACCACAGGCATCGTGATGGCACCTAGTCTCTAAGACTAGGTAAGCCGATTTTTAATTACCTTTTTAAAGCCATTTTTTTTTGTAATCAAAACTAACATCAAAAATAATTACAATACACAACCTCCCAAGACTGATAGTAGTGATTCACGAACTCTAACTGAATACATAGAATGATC